CGACAACAAACTATCGCTTGTTTGTATTCCATGTGTAGATTTCGGCATGCACATGCCAAAAATAAGGGAAAAAAATGTTTAAAAATTAAAAAAGCCCATTATCATTTGGTGATTTTCAGAAAATTAGATACTTGAATTATCCAAAAACATCAAAATAAAACTAGTTTTCATATATTGTGCATGAAATATTTAAAAGTTAAAAATTTTCCGCGCTTGTAAAACTGCGACAACAAACTATCGCTTGCTTGTATTCCATGGGGTAGGGATAAAGGGCGGATGCGGATACGGATGGCGGATACGGATGCGGATGAGAAAATACGGATGAGAAAATGCGGATGGGGGATAAAACGCGGATGGGAAAATGCGGATGGGGGATAAAACGCGGATGGGAAAATGCGGATGGGGGATAAAACGCGGATGGGAAAATGCGGATGGGGGATAAAACGCGGATGGGAAAATGCGGATGGGGGATAAAACGCGGATGGGAAAATGCGGATGGGGGATAAAACGCGGATGGGAAAATGCGGATGGGGGATAAAACGCGGATGGGAAAATAATAATAATAATAATAAATAATAATAATAAATTATAATTTAATAATTTCTATTATACTGACAATTATTTGCGAAATTAAAGAGGCAATGTCACCCATATTTGACTAAAATGCATTTTATTTACAGTGTGAACTGTAATTCTGAAAATAAACATCGTAAATGGATTTATGTATGACATAAGAGTAATACGCTTTTTGTGTTTGTTATTGCTTTATTTTGTAATTACAGCCATTCTTTCTCAGTTTTGTACAAGTTTTGAGAGAGTCAGAATTCCTCAAAAATCGGTGACATTGCCCCTTTAAGTCGGTTGTAATAACAATTTAAGGATTTTTTCAAGTACTAGTAGTGCAGTATCAATTCAACTAGGATTGCCACTTCTTTTGTATGAATTCTACCTACAATCATTTCCAAACCCCAAATATATTCAAGCGCTTTTATGCGCCAAATGTCGATCAAATAATTCTCACCAGACCTATAAATTTACCACATCTCAGGACTTACGCATGCAACAATAATAGGCATATGGTAAAACGCGGACTGGACTGGACTGGTAAAACGCGGACTGGACTCAGATTAGTAAAACGCGGACTGGACTCAGATTAGTAAAACGCGGACTGGACTCAGATTAGTAAAACGCGGACTGGACTCAGATTAGTAAAACGCGGACTGGACTCAGATTAGTAAAACCATAGAGGTAAAACGCGGACTGGACTCACTGATCTATTAATAGTAGACTGGATATAACTTCTGTGACACAAATTACTATAGAAATGTGAACAGTATGGCGAACAACGTGAACTAAGGTGAATTTTGCCAAATGTGAGATACTTTGCGAAGTTTTACCAAACTGGTCGCTCCACAGTGGATAAAAGATGTTATGTTAATGCTGTTAAAACGAAAATTATCCAGATTGCCTTAAAATATCGTCAGTTTGGTTCGTTCAAAGTTGCCATGCGGGAATAATATTTTATCGCCACAGTGGCATGACAACACGATAATTTCTAGTTTACTCAAGCATACTGTTAAGGTAAAGTAAGTAGTTCGTTTTATCAATTATGTTTAACCTTGATCAACCAGAGGGTTTCAAACTTTCAATTATCCATCTTTAATACTAAGCCTTTTTACAAAATACGAGGGGTAAATTACTCTGAAAATCTTCGTACACTTCATCAAAAATCCCAAAAAATCTTTGGAAAAATCCCAAAATCTTACTAAATCCCAGAATCCCAAAATCCCAAGAAATCTCTAAAAATTGCATAAAATACTTGGAAAAAGCCCAATAAAATCCTCAAAACTATTGCAATATTGAGAAATCCCATTTAAACATTTAAATCGTGAATTGGCGTGAGAATGTCCTTTGTTGATTTACTTCGTTTTAAAAATAATTCGACGGATTATATGTCGCAAAAAATGTCGGAAAAAGTTCGGCGAAAAAAATAAGCGAAAATATTTCGAAAAAATCAGCTGAAAAAAATCCAAAAAAAATCCAAAAAAAATCCCAGAATCCCGAGAAAAAAATCCCAGAATCCCGAGAAAAATTGCCGGGATTTTCTAATCCCAAAAATCCTCGTACGCTTTTTTCAGAGTAATTTACCCCTCGACAAAATATATATACATGTCTTTGTTGTTACTAAATATATTTGTACTTTTTAAATTTATTATTTTGTTAAACTGGAAGGCAACCTTTTTAATAAAACTTTCTGTAGAGTGAATCCACTTTTACAATGCAGTATAATGCAGTTGAGTTTTGAATTAGAAAAACTTACAAAATTGATTTAAAATGTGCTGTGTATTTATTATTCAATATTGAAATATATGAACAAATATAAAAGATATCATTCAAGTTAATTTGAAATAATAACCTGCTTTAACCTCAACCACTGATGGACTCGACTCATTGATACAAAAGTAAAATTGTCAGGCAACTATAGGCAGTGTGATCATATTCTGACATTAGAAGAGAAATATACTTCATGCTATTTATGAAATTATCTCTAATACTATCTATATATATTATCTATGCTTCAAAAGCATGGTTACCATGGCCAGTTGTTTCCAGTTGTGCTGTTTCAACAACTATGTCAAGAAACCTCATGCAGGTGACAAAACACCAGTGCCAGATTAACCATATGGCAGAAGCGGCATATGCCACATGCCCCACGGTTTTCCCTATTTCAGTGCAGGGCCCAACCAAACATAATGCACACTGCACAGCAGGTATACACTTTTAGGTATTACTTGTCATATGATATTATTGTTGATACCCATTGTGTCACTTAATTTTAGTACAAATTATTGATGTATACTTCCTTTTTTTGTAAATACAAAAATTTCAAGCAACTTCTCAACACGTACAATACAAAAGGATATGTTTATGTTTTTGAATCTTTCTGAATTCAGTGTTTAAAATGCAGGGGGGGCGCTGTCTTGGGTCCCCGCACTGATAAAATGCCACAGGTGGACAGGCCCTGCGAAATGTTAATTAATCTGGCCCTGCAAAACACAACATTGTTGCAACCAGTGTTTCTTTTTTGAATACCCCTGGGGCATATATAAACCAACAAGCACATATATATGCTGGGAATTTGGTGGAAAAGCACCTACAGATATTTTACAATAACAAATATGTTTAGATATAAATGAATGATCAAAATTAATAATGAACTTTACACTCTGCATGCCTTTGGAGTCACTGCACTAAAACAATATACACTGTCACTGATTACACTCTACAACTGAAAGTTCAAAATTCAAATGCAATATAAAAGGGGATTCACTCTACAGAAAGCTTTATTAAGGTTGCCTTCCAGTTTAACAAAATGACAAATTTAAAAAGTACAAATATATTTAGTAACAACAAAGACATATATATTTTGTAAAAAGGATTAGTATTAAAGATGGATAATTGAAAGTTTGAAACCCTCTGGTTGATCAAGGTTAAACATAATTGATAAAACGAAATACTTACTTTACCTTAACAGTATGCTTGAGTAAACTAGAAATTATCGTGTTGTCATGCCACTGTGGCGATAAAATATTATTCCCGCATGGCAACTTTGAACGAACCAAACTGACGATATTTTAAGGCAATCTGGATAATTTTCGTTTTAACAGCGTTAACATAACATCTTTTATCCACTGTGGAGCGACCAACTTAGTAAAACTTCGCAAAGTATCTCACATTTGGCAAAATTCACCTTAGTTCACGTTGTTCGCCATACTGTTCACATTTCTATAGTAATTTGTGTCACAGAAGTTATATCCAGTCTACTATTAATAGATCAGTGAGTCCAGTCCGCGTTTTACCTCTATGGTTTTACTAATCTGAGTCCAGTCCGCGTTTTACTAATCTGAGTCCAGTCCGCGTTTTACTAATCTGAGTCCAGTCCGCGTTTTACTAATCTGAGTCCAGTCCGCGTTTTACTAATCTGAGTCCAGTCCGCGTTTTACTAATCTGAGTCCAGTCCGCGTTTTACCAGTCCAGTCCAGTCCGCGTTTTACCATATGCCTATTATTGTTGCATGCGTAAGTCCTGAGATGTGGTAAATTTATATTTTATAGGTCTGGTGAGAATTATTTGATCGACATTTGGCGCATAAAAGCGCTTGAATATATTTGGGGTTTGGAAATAATTGTAGGTAGAATTCATACAAAAGAAGTGGCAATCCTAGTTGAATTGATACTGCACTACTAGTACTTGAAAAATCCTTAAATTGTTATTACAACCGACTTAAAGGGGCAATGTCACCGATTTTTGAGGAATTCTGACTCTCTCAAAACTTGTACAAAACTGAGAAAGAATGGCTGTAATTACAAAATAAAGCAATAACAAACACAAAAAGCGTATTACTCTTATGTCATACATAAATCCATTTACGATGTTTATTTTCAGAATTACAGTTCACACTGTAAATAAAATGCATTTTAGTCAAATATGGGTGACATTGCCTCTTTAATTTCGCAAATAATTGTCAGTATAATAGAAATTATTAAATTATAATTTATTATTATTATTTATTATTATTATTATTATTTTCCCATCCGCGTTTTATCCCCCATCCGCATTTTTCCATCCGCGTTTTATCCCCCATCCGCATTTTCCCATCCGCGTTTTATCCCCCATCCGCATTTTCCCATCCGCGTTTTATCCCCCATCCGCATTTTCCCATCCGCGTTTTATCCCCCATCCGCATTTTCCCATCCGCGTTTTATCCCCCATCCGCATTTTCTCATCCGTATTTTCTCATCCGCATCCGTATCCGCGTCCGTATCCGCCATCCGCATCCGCCCTTTATCCCTACCCGCAAAAATATGCAGTTTACTGGCCAGAAGGCGGGGCAGCCAAGCCAGTACAGCGTGTTTATTGGCCAGAAAATGTCACAACCTCGTACCCAGGGCCTTTGCTTCCCGTACCAGAGCCTCTGAACCGCGCAAAGGCCCTGGGTACGAGGTTGAAAATGTCATTGACTGGCTAGGAAAATGGCGGCCAACATGCGTAATGCGACATGCGCGAGGACAGAAACTTCAAAGCTTCCGACGTAAGTGGCCCTTCTATATGGATCTTTATTCTATGGTTTTGTTCCTAATCCTAGAAATAAGAAATTAGAATGTCTGCAGATTGTCCAGGGTTGCAGCTCATGAAGCAGAGAATATCTGGTTTGTTAACGGAAGAAGGAACAAGAATGGGTTTAAGTTTTAAACCTCGTTCGGACGACGTGTTCGTCGTCACTCCAGGGAAAACCGGCACGACATGGATGCAACAAATTCTCCATCAGTTGCGAAGTGGTGGCGATATGTCGTTTGATAATATCAGCGATGTCGTCCCTTTTATCGAGATGGCTTACGATACCGGCAAAATAGACCTCGAGGCTGAACACAGCTATCAACCACGGTAAGATACTGAGCTATTTATACATTTCATACCGAAACCGCCTAATTAACGTCGAGAAAATTCTAGATTTCGTCCCCGATGACGCCAATGACTCGTATATTGGCAAAATGGCAGATTGCGTTTATATTCCGCACAGAAGTGTTGTGTTAAGGACAATGGAAAATCCTCCGGGGGAGGTGAAAAGACCGCAGAAATCCAGGGCTGAGGTGATTAACTCTTTCTCAACAGGCATATTCACGTGATAAATTAGTGCAATTTGATTTAAAGCCATTATCCAGGGGTATCTGGCAATGAATTCCTAGGAAATTCCAGGGAAGGGTCATATAAAGAGGGGCCTGTACCGGTTTTGTGGGATGGCGGGATGCGTCCAAAATTCAAGTGGGATGCGGGATTTTAAGAGAAATATTGGCGGGAAGCAGGATTTTATTCCATCGCGGGAAGTGGGATTAATAAAAATATCATGGCGATATGCGGGAAGTTGCAGCCGTACGTTAGCTGATCTGTTGTCATTTGTTTGTGTGCTCGAAATTTACTGTTCTCAAGGATCGATGATATCGAACATTTGTCCCCCATCAATCCCCCATTTACATGTATGATTGCAGGGGCGAAACTAACCCCTTTTAATTTGGGGGGGGGGGGTCTTCCAGAATTGCCCTGCCAAAACTGCTGATGCCCTGCAGCAAATTTTTATTTCTGGCCACTATTTTCCCAAAAAAGTTGGGAGTGGGTGGGGGGGGATTGAAAATTTTTTCCGGATAAAAGGGTCGAAAAATTTTTCTGGACATAAAACTGTTAAATTAAGGGTCAAAAAATTTTTCCGTACAAATTGCTGGTAAATCCTTATTTTTGGACCAGTATCTGTAAAATTTAGGTCTACAAATTCTATTCCGTTCCCTCTGAAAGTCCTGTAAGTTATTTAAAAACCCTACATTCTATCATTTAAAATCTTTGATTGCCCTGCCAATCCAGATGATTTGCCCTGCCAATCCAGATGATTCACCCTGCCGTCCAGATGATTCGTATATTCGGTTGGGATGGCAGGATTTCTAAACCCGGTACAGGCCCCTCTATAAACTGAATTCCAGGGGGTCACAAGTTAGCTCGACCCTCCCTGTGCAAAAAAAAATGCAAAAATGCAATCTGCCATTCTAATTTGCATACAACCCACTTCGTAAATCATTCCAAAGCAACACATCCACATTAAAATTTCCACCTACGGGTCAGTATATGTAATATAGTATATAGTTTATTATGTCATGCATAAAATATATATTTTAAAATGAAATTTACTTGCCTATTTGATAGTGTGTGTTCTCCTTTTATTCCTCTTTTGTTGGACTAATATCGAGACTTTGTACTAGATGCGTGGTTGCGGCTGCTTCTAGTATTGATAATACATGATATATAATATATGATATTAATTAGTATACATGATACATAATACATGACATTATGTATCTACTCTGTGTTATCGGTTTATGACATGTTTCGTTCTCATTCTTAGATGTTACAAGACGCACGCATGGTATCCAGCGTGTCCGAAGGGTGCTAAATACATCGTTATTTACCGTGAACCATGTGCAGCTTTCTACAGTCTCTTTAACTTTCTTAAAGGTTGGATGTTTCAACCTGGGGAAGTTACACTTTCCGAATTTGTGACAGATTTTGTGCTCCATAAAGGAGTGCCAAAAAACATCACAAACTTTGCATCCGATTTTGACCATTTGGTCAGCTGGTGGGAACATAGGTATGCAATAAAGATGCGACACAGCTAGTCTAACCTTGAGGAGGCTGTGTTACGTGAAGCAATCTTTGCAGGGCCTTTCTTAAGAATCTGTCCATTGGGGGGGGGGGGGCATTACCGAAAAAGGACCATATACTATATACTGAATGTGGCGAGATGATTGACAGATGCATGGTTGGTGACAAAAAGTTTGCATGTTGTGGTGTTGTATGGTTATTGTAAGGGGTCTTAGGGCATTTTCCCACAGAAATGTTTTTGTATTTTTCCACCTCTTTTGTGCATTTTCTGAAACAGATTTTTGGATCAACAGCATTACATTGTACTGTAGATAGACTGAATCTTCAGTTAAGTACTTGTATGGTATATTTATGTAAATACCACAACTCGGTCACTAACTTGTTTAGCCTAGCCTTCCAACAACTCAAATCTATAGGGTCTGAGATATGCTATCCAACATCATTACAACACAACGTTTAGCATTTTTAAAAAGACATTGACAGCTAGAAAGAGCATGTTAAAATTAGGAAAATTGCAAAGTTTGGCCGCGAAATGTTGTAAAATGCGGAAAATATAGCCCTGCGGAATTTTCAAATTAATTTTGTATTAATTTGTATTACGTGCGGGAAAATGCACCTGCACATTTGCCTGATTTGGGTCGAAAGTGCCAAAGTAGTCCATTTTCCCGCGCGTAATCAGAAATTAATACAAAATTTGCAAATTTCGCAGGGCTATATTTTCCTCATTTTACAACATTTCCGTGCAACCAAACTTTGCAATTTTACTAATTTTAAGATGCTCTGTCTAGCTGTGGTGATGGATTTCGTTCTTGCCTAGCCTACGGTGTAGACCCCAGCAGAAATTGGAAAACGAAACGTGTTTCTGCTGGGGTCTACACCGTAGGCTAGTTCTTGCCTAGATCAAAATTTAGTCTGTAGCTGCAGGAAGCATCCATCGTTTTAAAAAAGTTCTGACTTGTTTGCCAGGCATGATTCGAACGTGTTGTTCCTGTTCTTCGAGGACATGAAAGAAGATTTAGAAAGTGTGGTGAAGAAGGTTGCAGCATTTATGGGAATTCAAGACGAAGAGAGGATTAAAAAGGCTGTGGAAATGAGCTCATTTGAATTTATGAAGGGATACGTATCAACGAAATTTTCGTTACGCGAGGCACGTTATCGAAATAAAGCTTGTGGCGTGCCTGATGATGCCATGTCCGTGTTGATTGCGACAGGATCTGCAACGAAAGGGCGAGAGATGATGGATGATAAAACCAAAGAAGCAATTCAGGCGAAATGGCTGGAAGTAGTTGGGAAACAGACTGGATTTCAAGATTACAATGAGTTAAGAAACGCATTCAAAAAGGAAGAGAATCAAATCGTATTATAATTGAACCGCAATTCACGGTCAGAAAGCTCGGATTGGTAGGAATGCAACTACCTCAAAAATACAGAGGGCTCTCCGCTCGAAACGTCGAAGTTCTCCTTGTTTTTTTCCACTGAAGTACTTGCATCCCTATCAATCTGAAAGTTTCTTATTATTGCCGTTTTAGGGCCTGTTCATATGATCCCGCTTACCGGGACGTCTCGCTTACCAATGATCTCGCCGCCTATCTATTTTCCTATAAAATTTTGCATTGTGTTCATATGGGAAAGCGAGCTGGCCCGCTTGCCGAGATCTCGTTTGAATTTGCCGAGATCATAGGTAGGCGGGAAGAAAATTTTTCCATATGAACACGCCAGCCCGCTTACCGGGATGAAGTGAAACAAGTCTTGCCGGTTTAATTTAACACTTTTTACTTGGTTTTATGTTTGTTTTGTAAACAAGTATTAAATAACCACCTGAAGCAATATACTTTTTCTTGTAAATAAACGAAGAAAAACACTAAAATCGCCAAGTATCTGTGTTGCTTGACTGAAATGTAGAAGTTTTGCATACGCTAATTATAGAACTACAATGTAATTTCATCTCGGCAAGCGGGACGAAATACTCCATATGAACGCACGGAAATATTCGTCTCGGTAAGCGAGACGTCCCGGTAAGCGGGATCATATGAACTTTTACAACAGTAATTGAAAAAATCACTATGCAGCCTTCCTACAACCCAGCCCTAGGACTGCTTGTTCAAAGTTGGGTTTCCGCCGAACCCTTGGTTAAAATTTAACCCGCTGTTTTCACTTCTATTGCATCGACAGTAAGCTAGCGGGCTTTCGATAAGCAGTTGTCTGACCGTAAATACGTTTGCAGTAAAAATCTGAAGAGGTTTTGTTGAATTTTCGAAATTTCTGTTCAGGGGTGTATAGAAACATTATGTAATATGCTTAGGTTAGGGTTAGGGTAGGTGTTAGGGTAGGTGATATGTTGGGGGGTGGGGTTAGGGTGGTAAGGTAAGGTAAATAATAGCTTTATTAGCATGACTATAAATGTACAGTATTGCTAAAGCGTATAAAAGTTATAACAATATATAGAGAACTATGGTAAACTAGGATTATACAATTTACAAATTAGTATATGTGCAATAATACTTAATAGACTAACATAACATTAACGTTAATAAGAATAAGAAAGAATGTAGACAAGTATAATATTTACAAATAAGGTGGTTATTACAACCTATGCTAACTAGCACTCCTGGTTTCAAGGTATTTAAGCCTTTGTTCAAAACATGAATAAACAAATTTTGACAGTTTAGTTATGATTTCACTATCAGTTGACTTCATTAAGTCAGCTGATAGAGTTTGAGAGTTCAGTTTAATCTCGTTAGATGAGGCATTCTCTAAAGAACTTCGGAGGTCTTCACGAGAATGCTCATAGGCTTTGCAAAAGAGTAGGAAACGGGTTTCGTTTTCCACCTCTCCTGAATTACAGATTTCACATAAGCGTTCTTCTCGGGGTGTATTTTGGTATCGCCCAATCTCAATTTGGAGGTTATGGCTGCTAACTCTAAAACGTGAAAGACATTTTCTCTTGTATGGGTCTTTTATAAGTATTAAGTATTTTTCGAGGTTGTGGTCCGTTTTGAATGTTGAATAGAAAGTTAATTTGGATGAATTTTCAAGTTTATGTTTCCAGAATGTCAAGTATTTTTCCTCAAGGGTTTTGGTAATAGCCTCAATATGTTCAGACGTTACGGCTTCCAGATTAGGGATTTCTTCATTTAGGTTTAAATTTTTGATTGTATCCATTGCATTTCCGTAAAAGGAAGTTTTCTGCCTAGAGTAGAGATCTTTCGAGATTAGAAATGCTTGCCTTGCAATGGCTGTTTCGGGAAGTGAGTTTAAGTGAGTGATGTATTTGAAGACCCTTTTGAATACATTGATAGTAAGAGGCAGTTTTCCAAGCTCAGCTCTGGAAGCAATGTTACTTGCTTTCCTACTGACAGCGAGGTATATTTTACAGAACTTAAGATGGACTTTTTCAATTGGTAACTTGTCCCAATTGTTGAAATCGTTTTTCACGTATGTCCCCCATACTTCAGAGTTGTATAGTAGGATCGGGCTTATAATAGAATCAAATTATTATTTTAATGGCATATTTGGGATTGAGGCGGCTGAAGTTGAGCTGTCTTCTTATACCATATAAAGCATGCAAGGCTTTCTCACTTAGTTGCTTTAGAGCTAAAGTGAAATTGCCATTGTGATTTAGTTTGACTCCTAGGTAACAGTATTCCTGTACAATTGCTATGTTCCGATTTCCAAGATTAAACTTTGGGCTTGCCTTTCTTGTTTTTCGTTTTTCAATAATCATTATTTGTGTTTTCTTCAAATTTATCTCCATGAGCCATTTTTTACTCCAACTATGGAGATCGTCTAGAGATTTTTGTAGGCCGAATTTTGGTCGAGATAATAAAATTAAGTCATCGGCATATAGAAGACAACTCAGTTTAGTTCCATTTGGTAGTATAAACGGATCAGCATCTGTAGTGTCAAATAATGTTGCCAATTCGTTTATGTAGATATTAAATAGAAGAGGGCTCAGAACACAGCCTTGACGCACTCCTGTGGAGTATGAGAAAAATTCAGTTCGATTAGTTTTGCTTTCTTTTACGGCGCATTTAGAGTTTGAATATAAACTTTTAACAAGGTTGTAG